ACTTTAAGGAGAATGGGTATTATGTCTTCTCTGTGTGTCTGATAAAATTCCGAGGTAAATCCGTCCAGCCCCGGGGTTTTGTTCTTGGGTAGTTTTTTGATTACTGTTTCAATTTCTTTGCTTGTAATTGGGTTGTTTAACTTTTGTGTTTCTTCCTTGGTCAGTCTTGGGAGGTTCTATTTTTCTAGGAAGTTGTCCATTTCTAATGAAGCAATTTTTAAAAAGCTTTTAAAACTGAAAGACACTGGGTAAAAAAGTACAGTATTTCTTCTTTAGTGCCAATGCCCTTCAACTCCATTTTACTTCAACAACCTTCTAACCACAAATTCATGCCAGACCATGTACTATCCAAAGATGCTCTTCTTCTGAAAAATTAAGCTCTAATATCCCTCACTTTGAAAGCCAATCTCTCCCTAGCGTTACTTCTATGCAGATCTCTGTAGACACCACTGTGGCACCTCAGAATCTCCCCACATCACTGAAGAGACTGCCTCTGTAGATCCGTACTACATGCTACTCCCAATACCTTGTATCTGAACAGGACTGATTCTGTTCAGAAATGCTGATGCCGATTCCTTATTAGAACTAAGGACAGAGTCTGTTTTGACATCGTGCCTCCCAAGTCTTGCTCGATGCCTTGTACCTTGTAGAGGCGCTGGAGGTTTTAGATTTTACTAGCTTTTAGCACTATTTCTAAGAGGTACGGTGGTATAAGGTTTAAAAACATGGATGCTTAACTTTTAGAAATACATAAAGAAATATATACAGTGACGTGCTGTCTGGGATTTGCCTCAAAATACTACAGGAGTCAGGAATGGGTGGTGGTGCAGTCAGTGACTGGCACACTGAGAAGCCGGCAGCAGCGCAGAGACGGCACCTTGGTGCTCATGCCACTGGGATGCCCGTGAAAACACAGAAGGGAGAGTGAAGAGCAGTTGGGAGCCACAGCATTACCCGGAAACTCATGTCCTTGGACAGAAACAAGTAAGTGTCTTTTATCGCATTTGTCCAGGTGCTTAGTGGCTTGAAGAGGCAAGGAAATACTTGTCTTGGAGACTAAGTACAGTCCTTTTTGAATTTCTGTGATGGGTGCTGTTAGCCTTCTTGGCTTTACCACATGCCCTTCTTCCAGGCCCTCATTTGTCTTGCTGTATTCTGGAAAAGATTATCTTCTGCTGGGAAGGGAACTGAAATATGTAGAGGAATATTTCTATGAAATATGCTGGGGCAAAGGACAGAAATCTTTATTTCTTCGGTTGATCCTGGAAAATAAATGGACCTTGATGCTGTATTGAAAAAGGACAAATGAATTCTTTGATAAAATATCTCCTTAGGATTAAAAATGGGAGCCTGGTAGGCATGCTGTTCAGATTTAAAGTTCAGATCAAGGCTATCTGCAGCCAGTGGCTGCCCATATCTTGCCTTCCTTGCAATGGTGTGTTGGAAGCCTCATTTCTAATATAGCACAGATGGTGGGGAAGGGATGTGTGCAGGATCACAGACTTTTGACTCTCTTCTGCTAGAAAACCAGTCCCAGAAAGTGGTTTTTATAAAATGTAGATGTGGAAACATTGCCCTATTTATTATTTTTGTTTCCAAAATGTTTGCAGTTGATGCTAAGGATTTAACAGAATAAACCAAGACCTCACATTCAAGAAGAAATTACCAATGGGAGCAGACCCAATTCACTGACATGGGTACACTTACTAGAAATTCTGAATATGTGTTAGTTCATATAGCTGGAGGTATCTCAGCTTACCTGGCTGGATGTGTGAGACCTGGACTCAGTCGTGGCCTACATTTAATTAAGTTGAAATGTCATAGCTTCTCTAACATGCTGTGGAAGAGGAAATCCAAAGTCGTAGAGTGACAGAATATTGGGGTGAATTTACCATGTGTGGACCTACACACTCACTCTACTCCTGATACCACTTCCATAGCATACGGCGTCTGGTCAGGAGGCAGAAACCAAATTAACAATTTGAATAGGGAAATACTATCATAAGGAATTACTAACCAGTAACAGAATATGAATTACTAAAAGGGCTAAAGAGACTTGCAAAGAAAACTGGAAGAGCAGATGTAGGGGACAGCCACTTCCTACAGGGCTGAGGTAGAGTACCAAAATAAACTTGGAAGGGGGACTCTCTCCTCCAACCCCGCATCCTCCCAAGGCTGAGCTTCAGACTTCCCTGGAAAGGATGTGGCTGTTGCCCGCTAGATGGCCAAGAAGCTCACTGTGGTGTCACAGGTGAGGCCAGCACACGGGAAACACTGTCTCTGGAGTCCCGGAGAAACCTGCTAGCACTGCTGGCCATAGTGCCCGCGAAATTAGCTCGGAAGGCAATCGCTGGCATTTCAGCAGAACTTACTCATAAGCTGCCTGCTGGCATGCCAGTGGGACTCCCCAGGCAGTGCCCACTACCACCAGAGAAGCTGCCAGCTGGAGCAGAAGCCACCCCTTTGGCACCCACAGCATAAGAGCAAGAAGGAAATGCTGGTCCCAGGAACGGACTCCCCTTCCTCTACCAGCGTTCATCCAGGACCCCCTACTGACAAGGTATGACACTGCACCAACTGGCAAAGAAGAAAGGCGTGAATTCAGAGCTGAGGCATTAACTTATAACCAGCACAGTTGCGGATATAAAATAATGAAACTGACCACGAGGTGAGAGCTGCTGAAACTGAATAATGGTAATCAGGATTATTATGCTGTTCTGCCCACTTTGTGTATTTGTAACTTTCCATAATAAAAGATTTTTTTGTTTTTCTAAAACACGGGCTCTTAAGTCAGCCTTCCTGACTTCAAATGGCCTATTATTCTGTGGCTCTGTTTCCCCATTTGTAATAATAGTACCTCCCTCTTTAGGGGCACAAGGAGGACTGGAACAGGTATTACATGCAAAGCAATTGGAGCATAGCTGGTATGTATTAAGTTCTCAATAAATCTTAGCTACTACTACTATTTGTATTATTTATACTGATGCTGACACTTTTAATTTTCTGAGATACATAATATTAGTATACCGTAAAATATTCATCTGTAAAAACTGGAGTTGGTACTTCATAACAAATTATACCATTAGATTCAGGTGGTTTGACATATATAGATATATTATACACTTGACCTTCGAAGAACAACTTACCTTGTCTTTGATTTTGTCAGCTCTAGCATCCAAAGGCTGGTTTTTGTTTTGCTCTTGATTACATTTTCGATTTCCTCCACCTGAGCTTATACTTTTTGTTTGTCCCACTGAACTTGAAGCAGCAGTGGACAGTACAGATGTGTTGATACCAACAGTTACAGATGATGTACTGTTTCCATTAATTGACCCATTTACACCTTGAAAATAAAAATAAACATGTTTATACTACATTCATCCACAAAAAGGAATGAAATAGTGATACATACTACAATGTGGATGACGACTCTTGAAAGCATTATGCTAAATGAAAGAGGCCAGATACAAAAGGTCACCTACTGTATGATTCCATCTAAATGAGATATTCATGACAGTTAAATCCACAGAGAAAGAGCACAAGCTATTAGTTACAGGGTCTGGGAGAAGGAAGAATGGGGAGAAAGCACTTAATGGGTATGGGGTTTCCTTTTGAGATGATGGAAATGTTTTGAAACTAGATAGAGGTGTAGATTATACAACATTGTGAATGGATTAAATACCCCTGAATTGTTCACTTTAAAATGGCTAATTTTAGAGTTATGTGAATTTCACTTCAATTAAAAAAAAGTTTCGGGAGATCATTAAATGCAAATATCCCCCCTATTGGAGCAAACTCCCCAAAATGCTTACTCAAGTGAATAGAAAGATGATAATAAATCATCTAAATGCTATTATAATTTGCAAATGATGTTCGAACATGTTACCAACTACAGAAATATTAATGATCATTTAAAAGATACAAGGAATACTAGTGTATTAGTTTTAATGACTTTACTACTTAATTATAGAAGTAGTACATTATATTGGGTTACATAAAGGAGGTAATGACACACAGAAGAAAAAGCAGTGGAGCTGAAGACCGGGATTCAAATCCTGACTATGCCCTATCAACATGTGAGCAGTATATCCTTGAATAACTTATTTAAGCTTGACTGCAAAAGGAGAATACTTCCAATCTCAAGGAGTTACTATAAGGATTAAGCAAGACAATGTAAAGTGTCTAGCAAAATGCCACATAAATGTCATTAAACTTGAACTCTACTGAAAATAGGTATTGGAGTGGAGGATTTATGGAACTTAAGTTTAACATGGATACCTTTTTCAGGACCATTTCGATTACTTTTTCCTGAAGTCCTTGAATGGAATGAAGAAGAATCATGATTCTGGGCTGGAGGAGCAAACAGCGGTGGAATCCCCAGTAACGGCGGAAAGAAGGCTGCCCCTGGGCGAGTATGAACATCTGTGGTTCGCCACCATTCTGCACCTCAAAACAAAACAACAAACATACAAAAATACCTGAATTAACTTCCTTTTTAATGTAACAATGCTTTTTATATTTTAACCTTGAAATTTTTTTCAAGATTAAAGACAGTATCCAAAGATCTTCACTTAGCAACTTCCCTGAGTTCAGGATTATGAAGAACAAAGATAGTCTATGGTTTTAAAAATATAATGGGAAACCAGGGATACTAAAGAACTATTTGACTTTTTAATGACTTATAAAAGTTTTTTTTAATTGGTAAAGAAACCTAAGTATTTTAGACTAACCTATTTTAAAACCTTAGAATTTAAGGTTATCGTGTACAACCTATGCTAAAAATTTCCTCAAATTTTGTACAAATATAAACCTGACCCTGATAAATCATGTGGTTTAAATAATACAAAAACTACTGTAACAAAGTATACCTCAAATGTATTTATGAAAAAAACATTCTATACTCAAAGAAAACAAGGATAGCAAAACCAGTGAGCCTTCTTTTTTGGTCTAAGAAATGAAGAGTGCTCAAAGATTTCCAAAATAAGTAAGTTGTATTGAAGTATAAAAGATTTATAAAGTTTCTCCCCTTAAAGTTAATGAAGAAAGCTTGAACTTTGTTTATAACTCCTCTCATAAATTACAGAGAACACTGACTGTTTGGTCAACAGAAAATAACTAAATGGTTAAAAGTTATCAAATGCAACTTCAATGTTCAAATAGTGGCTCTTAGTTAAAATTTTTAGAAAAGGGGAGAAGTCAAATTTTTTAGAATACATTTTTTAAGGAAGGTTGAAGATTCAGAAGCGATTGAAAATAATCCAAAGGGGAGTCTTGTATTGCCCCGAGTCCCCCATCTAAAATCTCAGAAACAATTTTTTCCTACTGGCTAACCTGCTAGACTACCAATCAGTTAATACCTTTCAGGCTAATCTCCCAAAACATATGTTATATTTTTCATTGACTGTTACAGCCACAAGGAAATTAGAGGGAAAAAAACCCCAGTAATATAGTATGGGGAAAATTCAGTATTGTCAGTATATGGTGTTATATAATATTTAAAACTTTCTCAGAATATCTCTTCTTTAAAAAGAGGATGTAAATCTTACTACGCTGATGGACAGTGACTGTAACAGGGTATGTGGTGGGGACTTGAAAATAGGGGAAATGTAGTAACCACCATGTTGCTCATGTGAAACCTGAGCATAAGATTGTATATCAATGATACCTTAATTTAAAAAAAAGAGGATGTAAAGTTATCTAATAGCAAAATCTATTTTTTAGAAAAAGTGAAATGTTCATGGTAGCTGCTATTCTGCAAGGTATAAAAAACATTATAAGCAGAAAATTGCAAAAGCTATTCTTCTACACTATAGGAAGGCACTGCTAGTGAAATGACACCAATGTATATTTAGAACTGCTTGAATGATGGGAACTGAACCAAGAATAACCATACAAAAGCATTAATCATTTATCTACTGTTCAGATGAAAGAAATGTATTTACATAGGAAGAAAAACTGTGTGTTTTGGCTTGAATCAGCAAAGTTGAAAACTACTGCTATTTATAGGCTTGAAAACTAGGTTCCACATAGCTGATAAAAAGGACTGAGGTTTCCCAAAGATACTTGTATTATTTAATATTGAGTCTATAATTAACATTAGTTACATGTATAGACTGTATAAATAACCAACAAATCAGTGATGTAATCAAAATGTAGTAAGATTCAAATATTTTAGACATAATCAAACTCAGAAAAAAACAAAAATGTACTTTAGGGTGTCAATGTTAAATAAGTACACAATATGGATGAAAAAAAATTGGAAATTGTGTACATTATAAATAAGCTGATGCCACAAATAAGAAAACAAGCAAATAAGGTCAATCAAATAAAGATGAAAATGGTAGAGCTGACTACAAACTTTACAGAAGTCTAATGTATCACAAAATAAATGACTAGCTTATCCTCTAAATTTAAGACAATAAAAAAATTTACTCACACAGTAGCTTTTTAATAATATAAAATGTACAAAATAATCACATAAACCAGTATATAATGAATTTCTAAAAGTATTAAAGGAGGTAACAGCATAGTAGCAACATTAATCATCTTCAACTGAAAGATTCTAATATTTCAGAGGATATTGAGCCTAGAAGATATAAAATTTAAAACTTTTTCTAACTTGACAGAGCCGGCCACTTCACAAAAATTCAAGGTAATATAATATAAAAATACAATAACCAAAAAATTGTAAGTAATTTCAAAGAAATTACCATGAAATATGATTTCAATATAAAATGGAAATACTAATAGCTGTCAAATAAGTTATTATCTGTTGATCTAATCATCTGAAATGCAGAATAATTTAGAAGTATGTAAAATTTAAAAACAAATATTCCTTCCTTAAAATTCCTAGCAATTTCTTCCTTGTATGTCTTTATTTATTTAATAGATGATTTCAAAAATTTGGCATTTTGGTTACCCTTTTGAATAAAGCCAATTACAGAGAATTTAAAGTTGTTATACCAAATCTACAACTTAAAAAAATAAGTCCTCTAAAACTAACTAAAACTAAGTAGTCTCTGTTCATTTTTCAAAAAAGTATGCTTATATAGTTATACTTTAACCACTAAAGACTCTTGTAATTATCTGCATATCTATCTCTTAAAAAATGTAAGCACATTACATATACTATGTTAGTGTAGTATTCCTCAGCACCTGGTCTAGGGCAAAGAATACGGTAGATGCTCCAAGAATTTTGTACAATAAATGAATGAGTGAGTGTGTGTAGGCCAGGGAAGTTCTCAAATGTTTTTCTATATAGTGGAAGTATCAACATTACTAAAGTTCAGAAGAGTAATCTTCACACAGTTACCCATCATTCCAGTGCAGAAGTTATTTGCTTTTAATAATATAGTAATCACACTGTGGTTTAGAAATGCTCAAAAGCAATACTATAATAAACTATGATAAAACAATTTTAGAAATTTAAGATACCAGTAACTATAATACTATTATGTTTTGCTTTTTTTTTTTAGCCATCTTACATGTCAGCAAATGCCTAATGAATGCTCATCTTGCCTAAGCAACCATGCTAGAAACTGAAATAATTCCTACTAGTGTTTTAAAAGGAAATGTTAAGACTTAATTTAAGACTTTAACTTTCTAGTAGCATTACCCCTTTCCACCTTCCCTTCTCCCCCAGACAACTGAATTAAAGGAATAATTAAAGTACTTGAAATATATATACATTTAACCACCTTTCCTTCTATATGAAATTCAAACAAGATACTTGTTTTCTTTTACAGAAGCACTTGGCAATTTATTACCCATCAAAGTGGGCAAGAGAAACTAATAATGATAGTTACCAACCATGTACTAATTATGTATGCCAAACACCACACTCAGCACTGAACATGGCTTATCTCCTTTAATTTTCACAAGAACCATAAGAGGCAGGCTATTATTATTATTATCGTCATTTTTCAGATGAGAAAACAGGCTAAGAAGTCAGATTATTTGTTCAAGTTCACAAGGTACCAAAACCAGATTTAAATTCAGGCCTCTTTGTTTCTAGAATTCAAGTTCACACAGTACCAAAACCAGATTTAAATTCAGACCTCTTTGTTTCTAGAATTATGCTCTAATCTCCAAATTATTTTATATAACACTAAATCATGCATCCCTGACTAAAATTTACTAAAGTAAAATTAATTACTGAAAACACATTAAAGTTTAGACTTTTGCAATAATTTAACAAGAAAAATTTTAGCATGTTTGTCTAAGTTAGGCTTTAATTGGTGTTTACTGAACTAAATTCTCACAATCATAATTGTATAATTTGGGATAACTCTTGTCTTCCTGCCATGTAAATGGTGCAAATCTATAATTGTTTTCATCAAATATGGAAAATGAAAGAAATTTAAGAGCCAAGCTCATCTTCCTTACAAAGTACAGAGAATTAAGAACTTAAAATTAAAATATAGAGAATTGGCCTGCAGTTTTCCTCAGAAGTTAAATAATTTTTTAAAAACTCCAAGCTGAGAAAAATTCATCAGGCCCTACACTTACAGTATGTACACTTTTCTGCATGTTATATTTCAGTGAAAAGTAAGAGAAAAACTTGGCCTATTCAGCTCTGAGACAGACACCTGTTTCTTAAGCTGAACACTTGAGTATCTCATTAACTGCACTGCCATCAGTACATATAATATAGGGTTTTTTTGCATATGATAAACAGGATCGAGCCAATTCTTGCACAAGAGTTTTAATATACTAGGCATTAGACTATGCTTTTCGTTCAATTTAATAAACAAATTACTGCTTGAACATTTTCAAGCCTCCCCTCCTTTCCTCGAGCACTGTTTGTAACAGATGTTTACCTGGAAAAGATGCTAGTTGGGGATGTGCGGCTAAGGCTGTGGGTGTACCAAGTGTCCCCAAACCACCAAATTCTGAATGCCCTGAGCTGGCTGAATGTAGACCAAAGACTGGGTGGCTGACCATTGGGAAGGCACTCGACACTGTGGACAGGTTAAACGGCTGATCCCCAGCTGCTCTGAATAAATGTCCTGGGAGGGAAAAAAACACACTTAAAGTTGTACTTTACAAACAGACGAGATTTATCTGATTTCAGCGTTCACAGTTAAAATTTATAATAACTTATCTATTGAATTTTTATTTTACATTTTTTCTTTTGTATTTCCACTCTTCAAACCCTACAGAATAAGATGTTTCTAAAAGCATGCTCAAAAAATAATTTAAATGAATGGCATAACTTTATTTACTTTGAATATGAGTTTGAAAAATGATGTTTTAAGTAAATAATTTCACTAATTGCAGTAGGTTGGCCTGTATAAGTGAGGCAATCTTTCTATTAATACATGTACATTAATATATATTTTTACTTAAAGAAAATAAAAATGTCTTATTAATATAAGGCTGAAAACCAATGAAATAACTCCAGACAAAATCTGTCACCAAGTCATTACACAATTTATCATCTACTCTAGGCAAAGAGTTCCCAGTTCCCATGTGCCAGAACTGAAGCTATGTTCTCTATCCAACCTTACCAGAGTTCATACCAAAATGGGATTATATTCTAGCCTAATAAAGCAATGTAAAAGAAAACATAAAGATTTAATGAATAAACATTTGTAAGATATTTCTAAAAGCATCCAAGAGTGGTTATCAATATAAAAATCATTTTTTTAACTTTTGATAGATCATATTTAGTTCATATGTGTGACTTTTCAATCTCCACTTTTACTCTAAAAAGAATCTAGTACTAAGTACTATAGCCCCTGGTTAGAATGTTACACAATCAAAACACTATTTATTTTTCATACTTTGCAGGGATTTCGCAGACAATTTGTTCCTGATTGTCACAGTATGAAAACAGCATTATCAAACCCCACATTCAAGGCTATCTCAAGAATTTACCATGTCAAAGGTATTGTGCTCTGTGTTAAAATAAGAAGGCTTCCTTCAATATAGAAATAAACTCATAGACAACAGGAAGGGATTAGTTGTTACCAAGGAAGGAGGGGTTGGAGGAGGGGGAAGTGGATAAAGGGGCACAATAATTTGCAATCACAATATAAGTTGGTCACAGGGATGGTAGTAGAGCATGAAGAACACAATTAATGATTCTGTAACATCTTACTACATTGACAGACAATGACGGCACTGGAGAGGGTGAGGATTTAATAATATGGGTAACTGTTGAACCACTGTGTTACATATTTGAAACCAACATGATTGTATATTAAAAATAAAATTTAATAAAAAAAAGAATAAGGCTTCCTTATTATCTCATTTATATCAGATCTGACTATTCCTTGCAATTTCATTAATTTTAACACAATGTTTAAAGTAAATTAAAAGACTTAAGTTAAAAATAAATACACTTTTGTTGTTACTTAGTTACCAACAAAATCTCTCTTCTCTGCTTTTTATTCCCTGAAAACCAATAGGAAGTCATCAAAAAGGTCAGGGTGTATCCACAGAGAGTAATATAAGCCCTATATTCTTTAATGGGATAACACTGTATTTTTTATTGAAGTAATAAGATTTATATAAACTTGCATCAAGTTTATCTTCTATCAGCTTATAAGGTAAAAATTTGTGATGAGGGTCAAAGTCCTACTATAACAAAGCAATAACTAGATCTCAGAGTGAAGATGTCAAAGTGTCTTTACAAAGACACTGTGATGGAGAAGGACAAGCACAAGATACAAACTTGGGCATCTTTTCTAAGTCAGCCAATCCTTGTTTTTGTTCTCAAACCCTAAAAAGAACATCTGTGAATTTGTACTTTAGTTTCATCAGAGTTCCCAACTACAATCGCCCTGAAGATGAACCAAACAACACAGGGCAGGCTGCTAGAGAACACGTGACTGAGCATCGCTGATTTAAAAACTAGTAATAGGTAGTAATACGTCACCAGGAAGACGGCACTTTTTTTTTCATGAGGAGGTGGCAAAGTCTCAAAACCTTCCTAGTTTCTCTAAAATACAAGCTTGTAACGTTCAGCACCAATATTTTTCACATGTGATCGCATATAAAATCCCTGGTTCTCACCAATCAATTCAACTTCCTTAATCAAATGTTTTATTCATAAACATACTATGATCAGATACGTTTCTTTCTATATCTGTTTCCTTGATAATCAAGTTGAAGCGAACATTTCGGTTTGGAGATTTTAGAATCACTTGTCATTTGTATTTTCAAGAGTAATTCTTAATTTGTCCATTATATATATATATATNAATTCAAAATTTCAAAAAATGTAAGAATTCAGAACAGGGTAAAATTACAAAGGGTCAGAATCTTGCAGAAATACTTCTACAACAGCTAATGAATTAACAGTAAGCAGAATTCTTAGATGCACAATTGAAACATTAATTTTATTATTCTGAAGAAGTGAGCTAAACCTTGAGGGCTCATGAGCAGAGAACATGCGAGAAATACCTCCATGAGGTGGTCACTTTTGCAGAGAACCAATTACACACAATTTGATTAGAAAAAAAAAAAAGGAAGAAAAAGGTTTTTTTTTCCTTAGAAGATTTAAGAAGGAACTAAGGAAAACATTTCAACAAAATCTGAGTTTTACTCACCATAGATTTAAATAGGAAAATAAAATAATCCTGTACACAGAGTAATGTAAATGTGTGGCAACCTTACAAAGGGGCTACCTTACTCTATTTCCTTATTCTTTCTTATAAAATTCTTGGTGAAAATAATTAAAGCATATCTTGGTGAAGATAAATAAATGCACCCAAGTGACAATGGAATCTAGGGGCCCTATTCCTTGTTGGCCTATTCACTTTTGTATTTAGTAAAGAAGACTAGGACCACATTATAATGATTATAATGATAGCATGCATTATCAAAAATACAGAGACTTTCTCTGCTATTTAAAAAGTTATACTACAAAAAGGAAACAATTTTTAAATACATTTCATAATATTACTAAGTTTGCCTTTATAGCAAGAATCTAGAAGTCGGTGATATAAAAAAATAAGGTTTTCTCATTGAAGGCTTAGTAACAATACTTTCAGCATCATTTTTCTAAAATCTTTTAAAAAAGAGACTCAAGCTAAAAAAAATTTAAATACTCAATTTCAAAAATCTCAAATACCTAAAACAGCGTCCCATACCTAGCAGATACACAATATATCTGTTGAATGAAATCAGTTCACTGATTCCAAAGGACTTGTTATGACAGGAAGTTCTCGAGTCTTCATTAAAGTTGGCAAGTAAGCTCCTAGTTTCCTTCTGTCTTACTTCACCAACGCTTCATCCTGACATTTTAAAAAATCACATGTGGCCCTTTATTCCTCCTTAATTACATTTAGGTGACATGTTGGATTTCATCACACAAAATTCTACCACCTCCACGATCTTAAACTCTTAAATCACTCCCTAATCATAATTTCCACATTTCCATTTCCTTAATTCTCAGCATGACCTCTGCTTCCTCTCGGTCTTCTATGACTTCCTTGACTCTGTTTATCTCCTTCCCTCTCAATCCCATCACCATCCCTTCTGTGTTAACCTTGAAAGGAAAATCTTGCACTTGTATGTTTACTTCTCCCCACTTCTCAGAATCTTTAGTATTTATGCCTCTCTTCCCATTTGTTACTAGAATTTTCCTAATCACAAGATACCACTCTCTGCTCTACTCTTCTCATTCTTAACCTCTCTGTACAATATAATCTGGCGTTGCTTCTTATTAAAACCCATGTTCATCCTTAAGCTCGAGGTCATGGGTCTTGATCATCTTCTTAACTATATCTTTCAATAATACTGTTCTCTGCTTTATCGGATTTTCTTTTCTAAATGTAAGAATTCCTAAAAGTTTGTCCAGCTATCTCTTCTTTTCATGCTTTCTTCCTCAGTGTGTGTCACTTCTATGCAAATGAATTCTAGACTAGAATTTTAGCTCTTCCAGAGCAAAAACTGAATCTCATTCACCTCAGTATCCCCCATACGTGGCATAATCTGAAACACAATAGGTACTTAACTGTTGGATTTTTTTTGTCACATCAGTTCTTAAGCTTCTGATGCCCCCTCTCCCACTTATATATAACATGCTTTTTGGTTTCTTTTGCCTTTTTTGATCCTATCTTATCCTTTCCTAACCATCTAAAAATTACACTGCCCACCCTGATTCCTGACCTCCCAGACACGTTAAGTTTGGACCTCCTTCGAACATTCATGAATATTCACAATCTGCCTTTTATCATACCAGTACTAGATACAAGGTAATGAAGGAAAGAGCCATTTCTTAATCATTCTTGCTCTCTACAAAACAGGGCATAAAACAAACTGTTATCAGTTGCATGAACAGCACTTCGGATACCTGCTAACTCTAAAATAGTAGTTTTCAATTTTTTTTCTCTTTTTTCAAAAGCTACAATAACCAGGAGTCATCCTTTAAATGATTAAAAACGTATCTCACTTTTTCCTCTGCTCCAATTATAAAAAGCATTCACAATGTTAACAAAAGCTCTTTGGGTAATTAGAAGCTGAAATCTATGTTACACAGCAAAGGCTGGTGTTTAGATTATTACATTGTGGTTCTTTAGCAGCCTCCAACTGTCTTGGAATTTCAAGCTACTGCTCACAAGGTAATTTTTAATCATAGGCCAGTAACAGCTCTGTGAATGCTATAAGTACATATAAGATAAGCATATCTGTATTAATAAAAAAGGCAGCAAGGAACAAAACACATGAAACAAAATGCAACACAAGTCAAACAGGCTCTCTTAACCTTATGACTACAAAATAGAATTATCTGGACATTAGAATGCTCTGCTTTTGGAGAAGTAACTTTTTCTGTGTTAATATACCTAATATCAGAAGATGCACCCACACAAAAACTTTTGATTAAAACTTAAAACTCTGCTCAGAGAAAATATTTGTAAATTGATAAATTACATCATAAAATGAAACTACTATCAGAAGACCACACCATTTCTTTTAACAGATATTAACATTCAAGCATAGTTTCAATATTATGAATGCAATTTTTAGGTTTCCATTTTAATTGATAGGGAACAATGTA